AATATCTTATACCCGATTTTATGATTTTTGATTTTATACATTTCGCCTTAATATCGGCCTATTATATTAAAAATTTTCGATCAGTGTTTGTTACTTGAGAAAAAAATGTTGACTAATTTTAAATTAGTTAAGCTCAAAAACTGATTTTTAAAAAATTGTCTATTTGGTTTCTTTTCTTAGCACATAATTCATGTGCTTTTACCACAATTCAAAGTAACTTACTTGTTGAGTAAGAACCACAAATTTTTTGTCACTTGATGTTTTAAAACTATCATATTGAGCTATTTAGACACAATTTTCAAAAGATCTGGTCGTTCAGAAACATATGCTGCTGCTTCATATTCTGATTCAAATGTGAGTTTTTTGTGGCTATGTAGCTGAGAGCGTGATTGGAAAGGTTGAGATCTGGATGAGGGACTAGAGCGTTCTGATCGGAAAGGTTGAGATCTTGACGGGGAATGAGAACAGCGTAATTAGAAAGGTTAAGGTCTGGATGTGGAATAAGAACATTGTGATTGAAAAGGCTGAGATATAGATGGGAAACGAGAATGTCTTGATTAGAAAGGCTGAGATTTAGATGGGGAACAAGAATGTTGTGATTGAAAAGGCTGAGATCTGAAATAAGTGCTTCTCGACTGTGAACGAGAGTATCGTGTATAAAAAAATCTTTGTTGAGAATTTTGTGATTGGAAATGAGAATGTAGTGATCGAGAATAAGAACGAGAGTGTGGTGATCGAGAATGAAAATGGGAGTTTGGTGAGCGAGAACAAAATTAAGCATCTTTAGCACTGTTACTCAAAGGTGCATCATAATTGTTAAAGCCTTCAAGATCATCATTCAAATCATCATAAACCCTGGATGAAGAATCTTTTTTGTTGCCTGAAGATGTAGATGTTTTTTTGCCTGTAGGCACATATGCAGGTGCTTTTATGCTAGAAGATGCTTTTACAAGTGTTTTTTTTGCTTGTAGATGCTTGTGCAGGTGCTTTTTTGCTTGTAGACGCTTGTGCAGGTGCTTTTTTGCTTGTAGACGCTTGTGCAGGTGCTTTTTTGCTTGTAGACGCTTGTATAGGTGCTTTATTAGAGATAAGTGAATTTCATTTTAAAACAGATTTCTTGGGCATTGTAGATATTTTTTTTCTGAGAAAGATTATAATTATTTTGCTGCTTAAAATTATATTTGTACTAAAAGTGCAACTAATGATAGTAAAGCGAAATCAAATTAATAATATTAAAATTTCATGCACATGATATGATTGAAATTAAAGCTGTATTTGCTTATAAATTTCATTTTTATTAAAGTAAAGATAAGCATAAATAAGATTCTAATAAATTTATTGTCAGCTTAGATATCCACTTTTTATATTTATTAATTGATCTTTTTTTACTATATAACTGGGCATGGCATGGCTTATATAATTATCTTATTACAGTCTTCCTCCTCTATAATCACACAGTTTGTATCAAGAAAATTGGTAATTATAAAAGAGTGTGATTATATAGAAGTCTTTTTTTATAAGTTTTTTAATAAATTGTCTCAAAAATTAATGTGATT